AGTACTAAGGTAGGGTTATTACTAGCCCATCATTAGGAAATATGTGATCAAATTGGTCAAGATACGATAAGTGTCAAAGATTTACCCATGTGTAATATCTTCTCTCAATTGAGCTTACTCTTATCATCAGCCTGTTGCCATTCATGCAGTGAAGAATAGATGTCTTGGGATCATTTACCTCGATCACAAGTTAGAGGAGATTCATTTTAATGGCAATAGATTACGTCATAAAATGATTGGAAGCTGAAGCCAAATGCCATTACCATGGAAGCACAAGTTGAGAAATTTGTGTAAAAAAACATTATCTATATATTCAGATTACCTTAATCTATAATAACGGATAATGGCAAACAATTAAAAAATTTAAGGTTCAAAGAATTGTGCTCAAATCTTCATATCAACCTCAAGTTCATGTCAGTTACCCACCCTCAATCCAATGGGTAGGCCAAAGTTACACATAAAAGCATATTAGAAACTCTGAAAAAGAGGCTCGATGTGACAAAAGGGAAGTGGGTTGACGAGCTACCTTTAGTTTTATTAACCTTGAAGAAGACCATGGAAGTGGCCACTGGTGAAACCACCATTCACTTGGTATTTAAAATAGAGGTAGTAGTGTTGATTGAGATCAATCTATCGAGCTTAAAAGTTAAATTGGCATAAAAAAATAAAAATACACTTAAGGTTGACCTCGACCTCACCAAAGAATAAATAGACATAGTCCTAACACGGATTATAGCCTACCAGCAAAAGGTAACCAATTATTATGATAAGAAGGTCTAATGTAAGCATATCAGGAATGTCAACCTAATACTTAAAAAAGTTAAAGCTTCAGGGGTAGGTGATCAAGACAACAAATTGGCCCCAACGTAAAAAAGATCATATATTGTTAAAGAGGTTGTTCACTATGTGACTTACAAATTATAGGATCTCAATGGTGACATCATCTTAAGGACATGAAACTTAGACAATTTAAAGATTTATTATCAATAGCTCGGTATAAATCGAGCTCATACTTGCATTATTTTATAAATGGCATTACCATCTCAAGGATGTGAAATGCAAATCAAGTATATTACCATTGGATCGATTCAAATCAAGCTTACATTTGTATTATTTTATACATGAACACATGAATTAAATTATCTTCGTTAAGCTTATACTTAAGTGATTTGAAGAAATTTGACCTAGAACTTGTAATTATCTTTAATTTAAATCGATTAACCATTCTCAAACTTGTGCAAACAAAAAAAATGACAATAAATCTGAGCTAAAACTTAAGAAATTTTTTCTATTTCATTGTAACAAAATACATCAGTTAAAGTATGGTATATCATTACAAAAAGCTAATCTCACAAAAAAAATTTACAAAGTCAAAAATAAAAAATTATAGAATTTATTCATCAGCAGCACAGTGTGAAAAAACACTCTCATCAGCAGGAGCAGGAGGTATGATTTCACTTTTGACAACCTCCATAATTTTCTCCTTGGTCTTCAAGGTAGCCTCACCTTTATCCTTCTCTTGCTCTTTCTCATCTTTATTGGGTTGATTTGGATGAGCTTTTGATTTGATATTGTTGATATCAATATTAGAGAAGTCGAGGTTAAGAAAAGAGAATTTGAATTATACTTTATCTTTGGCTAGCTGAAAGGCATCAAGTACATTTTTTTTTTTAAACTTTACTTTCATTTAGAGACAATCATCGGAGGCCTTGTACTCTTTTACAGCCTTCACTTTAAGCTCTTTTCTTTTTTTTATTCCTAGCTTTAGCTCGGACCTTAGCATTGTGATTTCAGCTTAAGCATCATTCAGCTTCAATTTTACTTATTCTTTTATAGATTCGACTGAAGCCTTATCAACTGAAATGGCCTTTCAGCTTCACTGTTAATTTATATACCTTTTTCCTCAACTTAACCTCTTTTTTGTGAGACGCATTGAAATTTGACCTAATGTTACCCAATGCTTTTGAGTTCTTCTTGTGCTCATTAGCAAGGGTAGCTATATCCTTCACAACTTTTAGCATATGCTCCATGGCAAGATAAGCATAGTAGAGGGCTTGGCTACTATTTTTCACAAGCTTAGATAAAAACTTCTTTTGGACTGTACGAAAAGATCTTAGACTTAAAAAAATAAAAACAATAATAATAACAAAAAATTGAGTTGAAGTCAAGATATACTCAACATGATGAGGAACCATAACTTTGTAGAACCTCCTAACTATGTCAAGGTTGGAGATGGGGTCATCCGTTAGAGCATACTCCAATCCTGTGGATATTCTCTTGAGCTAGGTTTTAGCACCCTAGCTTTAGGGTTCTTAAAAGCAGAAAAAGAGGTCTTCACCTATGGTCTTTTAGCGAGAGAATGTGGTGTTAACATTGATATGAAAGACAAGTTCTGATCAGCCTTAGCTTTTGACTTTTGACTTGAAAAAAAACGATGCATAAAGGTGTTTACTACTTTATCTCCCCCACGGGATGGGTCCCCAAGCTAGATCTTCTTTTGGTTTTTTTTGGACCTCAGGGTGTATTGGTACAGTAAAAAGTCAAAGTCATCATTATCGACTATTTTTGAAAAATTGAGCTAACAGTTAGATAAAAAAGTTAACTTAAAACAAACTTTACAAGGTTATTTCAAACCTACCCTAATACTTCATCTTGTTTATTACTTTCAGGGAGTTCAAAATTGATTTGAGCACACAACTTTTTTGTGCTCAAAACTTGCTTACCTCTCGCCCTAGCATTCTTTTTATTGCATCGTTACCCTTCCTTAGATATTGGTTAAACTAATAAATTATCTTTGCATAGTTATGTCCTTTAATAATATGGGGGATTAGGTTGTCATCTTGCTACTCTTACTAACCTTTCCTTAGTTTTACCTTATAACTCTCAGCCTCTCCAAAACTCATACTAGAGGATATGGTTAGAAATAAATACTGAAGTGAGTGTAGAAACAACTTTGAAAGCTAGAAAGCTATTGAGATAAAAAATTTTAAGTCAGATTGAAAGTAAAAAAAATGAAAGGTGAAAAATTGAAGCCCTACCAACCCTTTATATAGACGCATTGTAGACTAAATAGATGACGTGTTTTGAGCCACGTGTCGAAGCATGGGTAAAAAGACATCTTTTCATTTTTTGGTTTTAAATTTTTTCACTCAAACCACCTCTCTCTTCATTTAATGTTGTCAGATCGACCTAACTGAACGAATTTTAGGTTGGACCATTTATATCGGACAATCGTCAAAGGTAAACCAAGAGCTCGATTCACCTTCAGTGTCCAAAATAGAAGCTCAAATTCAAAATTTTGATAAATACAAGTCTTACCATGGCCAACAAACTCCAGCACTAATCTCGAATCGTTCTTGACAATTATTACCTCGGTAACATTTAAATCGATTATGCACTCAATCCAAAATACACGTGTGAGATTGGATAACTGTTAAGTCAGATCATGACTCAAAGCTAGTTATCATCCAAAATTGACCTCCCCTGCAATGTCAGCCTTCGACGAACCAAGCTGTCAATCTATTCCTTCAGCCAATCTGTCCCACACCGGGGATGTCAGTAATAAATTTGGCTATCTGATACTCAGACCACCTGATGTGAGGATAGAGTGTTAGAAGCATTTGATGGTTAAAAGAATATAGTGATCTTTTTTCCTCTTAAAGCCTAAAATAAACAATTAGGGGTATCTTTGTCATTTGTGCTAACCTAACATGTTAGGTTGGACTATCATAGTCAATGCTACTTCAGCTTAGCCCTATCTTAATTATCTCCTTATAGCCCTATTCAGCTTACTTATAAATATGAAGACTTAAATACTATAAAAGCAGGGTCATCCCATTTATTTTTCTATCTTTTTTCTACTTTTTTATCGACCTAATTTTTATTAGCTTGCATATCGGAGTACAGATATAAAAAATATCTCATGCTTTTACCTCTAACTATCTTTTTTTTACATTTATGAAAATACTCTCAAGTTGAAGCTTGACACCAACACTTAAATCTTGGCTAATTTATGAGTTTTTTTAAAAATCTAGTTAGACGAAAGGGTAGAATAAGAAAAATGAAATCTTTGGTGTCTATTTAAGAATTTTTTTACGATGATGAGCAGTGGCCGAAGTGGTTGACGATCATCGGTGTGGCAACAAGTTGTCGAGTTCTGGAAATTAAAATGGTCGGAGGAAATGTTAAAGAGGAGAGAGGAAATATTATGGATTTTTTTGTTTAAATCGAAAATTTTGTTTCGTTTTTTCTTCAAATGTTTTGTTTTGTTTTGTTTTTTTAAATTGGTTTAGTTAATTAATGATTTAAGTTGTTAAATTTAATTTTGAAAAAAATTCAAAATTTTTTTTAATATATATTGTCGACGTGGTTTAAAACTAATCTTATGCAATATAGCGTGAATTTAATCCACGTAAGAAACATTTTAATATTAAGACAACAAAAAATGTCAAATCGTACTAGTCAACGATCGGCAAATTTTAATGAAAAATATTAAATGAAGTTAGTATTCGGAATAAAATTGATAAATTAAAATAATATAAAAATTAAATTTAGATAAATTATAGTAAAAAGTAAATTTAAATTTTAAAAAAGTATAGGGCTAACGGGTATAATTTGACAAAAAATATATTTACTATTAACAATAACGGCAAGAAAAAGAATGAACTGAGTTTGAAAAGAGGTTTGTTTTTATTTGGTCAAGGCGTTCGGGAAAAGTTGTTTAGAAAGCAATGACAATGGTAGAGTTGTAATAATGTAGCAAAACAAGGACTGACTTTATAGGAAGCTTAACTGTAACTAAAGCGCATTTTTTGCTATAGGAGTAGAGTAGCTTTCCTTCAGCTCAGCCTCAGGACTCAGACCTCCTCTGTCCCTGACAGCTATAACCTCAGTCAGCTGCCTCTCTCTCTCTCTCTCTCTCTCTCTCTCTCTCTCTCTCGTATAACACTCCGCCCCAGCGCCCCCCCCCCCCCCCCCCAAAAAAAAAAAAAGAGAAAGAAGAGGGTTGGTTTCTTTTTGCTTATCTATTTTCCTGCGTATCCAAAACAATACCACTGCTTACAAATGATGTATCTTTAGAACCCCAAACCAAAAATCGCTTCTCTTTTTCAACTCTTGAAATGCAGTCTCGTGTTTGAATCAGTTCCGACATTGTCTGTAACAGATGCAGCTGGTTGAGTTGGAGTTTGAGGTTAGTTGCTCATTTCAGTTTCACCAATTTCCGGATCTGAAAGGCCGCCCTGCTTCTTTTACAAATGCGGCTGACTGCTGAGCCCACCTCCGTTCAACCTTTACTTTCACTCAACTCCTGTTAGCTCCCCTCACTCACTCCTCAATTGGATTTGGATGCTGTTTCCCAAGGTTTCATTCTTTGCTCTTCTTCTGAAATTCGCTTTGTTTCTTTCAACTGTTTTTAAGTTGATATATTCTCAGCATTGATTTTGCCTCTCATAATCAAGCTTGTAGATCTGAGCCATCTGGGGAATGTTTCAGTTTTTTTCATCAATTCGTAACATTCCCATCATATTTCTTTAGTCAATGGTGATTCAACAATATGTGGGTTTCTTCTATTTTCTCAAAGTTCTCATTTTTCGTTAAAAAACACTTTTTTTCTTTGTTGCTTATGTGCAAATGTTGATTTCATTTTCATCTTTTCCACCCCTTTTCTTGCGCATTGCAGGTTAGGTAGTTCAACTACTCTACCCTCTGCCTCAACCTGTCTCAATTTTGAAATTTCCCTTTCTTTAAAAAAAAAAAAACCATTACTTGAAACTTGAAAGAAAGTAGCTCCGAGATCTTATGAAATTACTGTCTTAATTATCACAATATATCTATAAAAATTCTCCTTTATTTGTAATCTAAAAGAGTGTAGCTTACTTTTCCCAAGAATATTCTTCTTTTGGTGCTCTTTAATGGAATAGCACTAATCCCTGTCACCATTTTGTTGTTTTTAAGACCCCTTTTCACTTTAGCTTTGAACTTGATTTTTTTTTTATTTACTTCCACTCCAGGCTCTTTAATAAGATAGTATGATAGCAAAGATTTTTATTCCAAATATTTTCCTTCTCCCATTTATTTTTGGGGACGTTGAAATGTGATAGACGAAGTCTAATCTCTCAAGTTTATTCCTTCTAATTTGTCCTTCTTACTTGAAAAAAGATAAAGCAAATAATATTCATTAAAAAAATGAGATACCTCTTATATTATTAGACATAAAGAGAATGCCATTTTTGTTATGAGAAGCAATTGAAAAAGAATTTTCTTTTGGAATAAGTTGTTTTCTTTTTCTTTGGATAAAGACATGTTGATAATTTGGATTCAACTCTGAACTCACTGTCCACAATCAATATCGTTATTCAAATGCTCACTGGATGTCAAAACCAGTGCCCTTCTTGTGGTCAGATTGTCAATGTTGTTTCTTACTTGATGTGTTTCCCCTTGCTTTTAAAAATTTATATGTTTCGTATTCCTTTTCATGGTGCCTCGTAGGGGAGAATGCCAAACCAATTTCTTATTGCATATGTTTCCCCTTCCTTTCAGAAAATTATTAGAGTGCAGCTAGTTAGAATTTTAACAACTGCTGACACTCATAGAGCAGAGTGCCGAAGTACTTTCCTACTGTGTATGCTTAATCCTCCTTTTAAAATGAATAAAACTGCGACTAGTTGGAATTCAGCACTGCCTCGTGAAGAGAATTATAATGTACATTCTCATTGGGTATGTTTTCCCTTCTAAAGTATAGAAGCACACCTAGTTGGAATTTCAGCAACTGCTGAGTTTATGCTGAATCAAGTCTTTTTTGTACATGAGCATTAATTTCAATGACCTTCAGGGTATGTTGGTTGGTGACAGTTAATTAATAGGTCGTCTGATAGAATCTTAGCTATTTCATTTTCCTTTGCTCTGGGTACATCAGATTGTTCTTGTATCATCCCCTTGTGTTTTGTACTTTTCATGCTTGTGACAGAATGGTTTTGCATCGCATTCTTTCTTCTATAAATATTGGTTTTTAGTTCCTCATCATGCAGGCTGCCTAATATTTTCTGGTCCTTTGTTTTAAACAGGATATCAGCGTCGTCTACAGAGGTTACATTTTCCTCACCATAGTCATTGCCATATTCCCTGCACCAAACCTCAACCTATGAAGTTCTGCCTGAGTTCAGTGTTTTCTCTCCTTGTCATCATATGCAATTTTCTTCCTCTAATAGTTGCTGATCTAAACTCAGATAAGCAAGCCCTTCTTGAATTTGCTGCTGCTGTCCGCCACCGTCGAAATCTTAACTGGAACTCAACCAACCCAATATGCACGTCCTGGGTTGGCGTCAAGTGCACTCAAGATAATTCTGGTGTGTTTTCCCTCAGGCTTCCCGGGGTTGGATTCATAGGCAGTATCCCGTCCAACATCCTTGGTAAATTAGGTGACCTCAGGATTCTCAGCCTTCGATCTAATCGCTTCAATGGTGATCTTCCATCAGATATTACCACCCTTCCATCACTCCAATACCTCTTCCTTCAACATAATAACTTCTCTGGCGATCTTCCTGTTTCCTTTTCCCCCCAACTCAATGTATTGGATCTTTCATTCAATTCCTTTACCGGCAGCATTCCAAAAGCCATACAAAACTTGACACTGCTTACTGGCTTGAACCTTCAGAACAACAACCTCTCTGGACCAATTCCTAATCTTAACCTTACTAGGCTCAAGCATTTGAATTTAAGTTACAACCAGCTTAGTGGTTCAATCCCATTACCCCTTCAAAGATTCCCTAATTCATCCTTCGTAGGAAACTCACTGTTATGTGGACTGCCTCTACAGCCCTGCTCTCATCCTCCATCGCCATCTCCTGCTTATTCTCCACCCCCACCAGCATTTCCTCAAAAAAGAAGCTCCAAAAAGAAACTGAGTTTGGGAGTTATTATTGCCATTGCAGTTGGAGGGTCTGTGGTGCTGTTTCTTTTAGCTTTAATTATCTTATGCTGCTGTCTGAAGAAAAAGGATAATGGAGGAAGTGGTGTATTGAAGGGGAAGGCTCCTGGTGGTGGCAGGAGTGAGAAGCCAAAAGAGGAGTTTGGCAGTGGGGTGCAAGAACCTGAGAAAAACAAGCTAGTGTTCTTTGAAGGATGTTCTTATAATTTTGACCTGGAGGATTTATTAAGAGCTTCAGCTGAAGTTCTGGGAAAGGGTAGTTATGGCACAGCTTATAAGGCTGTTCTCGAGGAATCCACAACAGTGGTAGTGAAGAGGCTGAAGGAAGTGGTTGTAAGTAAGAAGGATTTTGAGCAGCAGATGGAGATTATAGGAAGAGTTGGGCAGCACCGAAATGTTGTACCACTCCGAGCTTATTATTACTCCAAGGATGAGAAGCTCTTAGTTTATGATTATTTACCAGGCGGCAGCTTATCCACACTTTTGCATGGTACATGTTTTCTTCTCTTTGTGTTTCTCTTCTTTCCAAGTAAATCCGTCTCCCCTACCCCCAATTTCAGTTTCAAACAATTTCTAAGTAAATTTGGGGAAAATAAGCATGTAATAATTCATGCATTTTGATAACAGGAAACAAGGGGGGTGGAAGAACCCCATTAGACTGGGAATCCAGAGTAAAAATCTCCCTTGGCGTTGCCAGAGGAATTGCCCACGTCCATTCTATGGGAGGTCCAAAATTTACTCATGGAAATGTCAAGTCCTCAAATGTTCTCCTCAATCAAGATCTTGACGGGTGCATCTCTGATTTGGGTTTGACTCCTCTTATGAATGTCCCTGCGACTCCATCACGGACAGCAGGGTATCGTGCTCCTGAGGTGATTGAAACCCGTAAGCATACTCATAAATCGGATGTGTACAGCTTTGGTGTCCTGCTCCTTGAGATGCTGACTGGGAAAGCACCACTCCAATCACCTAGACGGGACGACATGGTTGATCTTCCTAGGTGGGTTCAATCTGTTGTGAGGGAGGAATGGACAGCCGAGGTGTTTGACGTTGAGTTGATGAGGTTCCAAAACATTGAAGAAGAAATGGTGCAGATGTTACAAATTGCAATGGCATGTGTGGCGAAGGTGCCAGACATGCGACCTAACATGGATGAAGTTGTTAGAATGATCGAAGAAGTCCGGCAATCAGACTCAGAGAACCGGCCTTCTTCTGAAGAGAACAAGTGAAAAGATTCAAATGTGCAGACGCCGTCATTGTCCAAACCAAACGCAGCTGCATTGTGCTTTTAGGAATGGGCTAGTAAGGTTTTCCCACACATTATCTGACCTTACATGCATGCCTGGCTTCTCAAAGTTAAAGTCAGTGTGGTTGTGTAATTTTTCTGATTCTGAGGGATGAAGTGTTATGTATTTTTCACATTAATTTAATTAGGAGGGTTTTCTTTTTCCGGATTTGTTGTAATATTCATATTCAGCAATTGATTTGCGCTTACTTCAATGAAATTAAGAACTTTTGAGTATCCTTTTCAATATTGCTTACTGGTCTATTCCTTACCTGCGAAAGTAAATGTTAGTGGGTTGGGTAGGTAGTTGGTCCAAGTGGCTTTTACATCTAACATCTTCATGTTATTACTCCAAGCTTTGCTGTCGTGATCTTAGTTAAGTAATTTTTCCTTTTCCGGTCAAAAATATGTTGGCTTGAGCTAAGGGCCAAGGAGTATCAATAACTTCGTCATCATCGTGGTGGTCATCATGTGGATCGAAATGGTCAGATTTCAATCGCCAAAGAATCGGATTTAGAAGAATCGTCATGTAAATGTAACAAAAGAAAAAAAAAATCTTTTGTAAGGATAAGATTCTTCAAAGTGACAGTTGGTCAGGCAATTAAAAATGTATAGAAACTATTTGCTGTTATTGCAATAGAAGAATGTGTTAAAGAGGGTTGGAGATTGAACAAAAGAAATTGACATTAACTAGCTTTATAAAAAAATGGAAAATGGCTATTGAATTTATTAAAGGGAAGCAGAAACGAGGCAAATTGGAAAGAAAGCAAAAGTTGGAGGATAAGAGTGTAAAATCAAACAAAACAAAGGTCTGAGGATTGGATAGAATGCAATTTGTTTCCTTTCATTTCAATTCCTTAAAATAAAATAAAATAAATACTAGTCCAGAGGCCAACCCCTCTTTTTGACTTGAGCTCGAGGACGTTAATCTTACGCTAACCCAAAAATATTATTGAATGAGAAAATTCTAGAAGAGCAAAGCAAAGCTAGCAAGCAACCCTCCTTTATTTCGCCCTTTTCATTTTCCCTTTCTTGCTCGTCAGCTTGCGGTTTCTAATTTTGAATCTTCACATTTTCTTCAAATTTGGGTGTTAGGTAAGCTGTTTCTCCGTCTCTCCGCTTTGTTTTTGTTTTTTCTTTGCCTGCCGTTTTAGAGAATAATTGAGGGTGGTGAATCAGGTGATTGATTATTGGGTTTGTGAATTCGATGGCATCGAAAAGGATACTCAAAGAGCTCAAGGATTTGCAGAAGGATCCTCCAACCTCCTGCAGTGCTGGTTGCTTTCAACGTCTTCCTTTTTTTCTTTACAATCCTTAAAAAGAATAAAGATGTTTACTATTTTACTTAGTTTCTTTCAAGTTTCATCCTTACCTTCCTTGCTTCCTAATCCTCTCACGTCTTTCCGTCTTTTTCGCTGATTTATTTTTGTGTTCAACCCAGATCCAAAAGCTTTCATTTTGACAATCATTTCCCAATCTTTGTCTCAAAACGGATTTTTGTAACTGCTTTTCACTTGTTCATTTTCATTCAATGTAGGCCCTGTAGCTGAAGACATGTTTCATTGGCAAGCAACCATTATGGGGCCTGCTGATAGCCCATATGCCGGAGGAGTCTTTCTAGTCTCCATTCATTTCCCACCTGATTACCCATTTAAGCCGCCTAAGGTACTTTTTCCTCTCGATACCGCCAACTCTGTTTTACTGTATATCTTCTTTGCCTTACAACAATGCCAAAACCTTATCATCCTGAAGACCTAGTATGTGAGAGAAGGGAATTCTGGGACGGAGGGCTCTTGTTAAATGAGCAACTCTCGGTTAGCTCTCTGACTTAGTTTTAGATGGAGTTGGTGTCGGAACAAACCCATGACTTCAATTGATATGTTTCTGCTTCCCACTCATAAACAATTTTCATCCTTTTTCCATTTTCGGATATCCAAACAAATTTGTCCATTTCTATTAAAGTGAAACTAAAGTCGGGATAATTGTGAAATCTACTGCAATACTTCACATGGATTAGAGTATAGCTACATAAACTCTTATATGATATTGAATCGTGCCAGTGGCTAATATGATCATATTGGCATCATTTGTTTTCTAGGATGAAATTAACAAGAATGAAAAGAATAGCATTCATCTCTGTGTAGTAGGATTGTTGTGAATCAAAAGGGGACATGCATATTTATTGTAACTTTTCTCATTAGCTCTCCTCAACATGGACCTTGTAGCAATCTACAACATCTTTTGGGGAAAATAAATGTTCTCTGGATTGTGGTTTCCCTGCTAGAGAAGAAGTGTTGTTGTTGAATAGGGAGAGTGGAAAATGAATGGAGGGAGGAAGAATGTGGTCATAAGTTGTGGTGAAGAAGAAGGCCTGTAAATTGCAAACACAGACACATTTTCGAACATTTATGCATGTATTCATGCAAACTTTTGTATTGAAGTTGTTGTAGTTGTTGCCAAATCATAATTAAGACTTGAGAAAATAGTATGTTCCTGATTATTACTTATTAAAGATATGAATGGGACAACTTGATTATATCCCTTTTTGTGTTTCAGGTTGCATTTAGGACCAAAGTGTTCCACCCAAATATCAATAGCAATGGAAGCATATGCTTAGATATTCTTAAAGAACAATGGAGCCCTGCACTAACCATTTCCAAGGTTTGATTTAGTAGTTTTCCTCTCCTTTCTCTTTGTCATTAATCAGCTATTAGTCTTTGATGAAATTGAGATCCAGCTGATTTATTTATTAATAGATGTACATGAGCACCAGCTTTTTAATGAAGCTAAGTAGAGTTGCAATGTGCTTGTTTTGACACATTTCACTCGAAAATCTCTTTATAATCCTTTTTAGAAATTATTGCAAATTATGGATAATATACTGGTTTGCTTTTTATAATCCATAATTTCAACTTTTATACACAGCTTGTGTCTTTTGATTGGTGGTGTAATTCAATGCATGGTTCCATGAGTTTCTCAGATTGGGATTGGATTATAGATGTGTTGATCATCTCTTGGTTGGAGGGGTAGTATCTCAGTATGCTTATTTATTTACTTGAACGGAGTACATTGCCACTGATGGCTTCTTTATTTGCTAATTCATACGGTAGTGGATTGTACCACCAAAGAAAAGTGTCTATGAAGTACATGGCTGTATTTTTGCTCTTAGAGGAAATACAAGCACCATTCTAAGGTAGTGTATGAAGAACCTTGAAATGGTTTTCTTCATTTATCAAATGCCACCAAAACCTCCCAACGTAAATTCCAGGAAAATGAATAGTACTGTTTGTATGCATTAAATGGAGCATACTTTGTAAATGGCGAAAGCTAGGGTAACAGGAATGTAACTTTTGCACATTAATACATGGTGCTTTGCTTTTATGGTTTGATGTGGTTTTATGCATGCAGCTCTGTATTTAAGCCTTACAAATGTTTGGTGCAAAGTAGGTTATAGTGCTTCTTTCTCATCAACTATGTTGCATGTTTTAGGTGCTGTTATCTATTTGTTCCCTGTTAACGGACCCAAACCCGGACGATCCACTTGTTCCTGAAATTGCTCATATGTACAAGACTGACAGGGCCAAGTATGAGGCAACTGCTCGTAGCTGGACTCAGAAGTATGCAATGGGTTAATGGTAATAAATTCCCCAGTAATGCCCAAAAAAGAAAAGGGATTTTCTAGTTCTAATTTTGTTTAGTTGAAGGAAAAGAACTATGTTAGAGTGATATATCTCTCAATGTTCTTGTCGGGGATTCAAAAGTCTTTGAGGAATTCATTCTATCATTTTCTGAATATTTATTTGAGGACAATAGTGGGAGAAAACTGTAATGTAATGTTGCTGTGTTGTAGCCAAACTGAACGGTCTGCTTGGTGCTTGCCTATCTCTTTCCAATGTGAAATAATGCTTTAACTGCAATTTTTAAAATACTAGTGATGTTTTGCTTGGGATTCTGTACGAGGTCGTATCGTCAATTACACTAACTGATTCTATATGTTTTCCTAAGTTTATAGCTATAAATATAGTAGAATTTTGATGATACAGTTTCCAAAAAGAAAAAACGTCCTGACGACATGAATATGTGGGATGAAAGAAACCCTTTATAAACGTTTTCCTTTTGTTTATTCATCCTACTTTTCATTTTCACCTCCCTCTTTTTCCTCTTATTTTCTCTTGTTCCGTTAACCTTTTTAATATTTTCTGGGCTGTCTTTTGTGTCTTTTTGTACCCTACTTTCCCCTTGGAAGCTCTGCTGCTGGTTGCTGATCTTCTAGATAGGATGCTAGCTTGGTTTCAGTTTGTATTCTGTATGATCTTTGAATTGTTGCAGGAGTAAGATACCGGGAGAAGTTGACAAACCCATTTCGAGAAAAAGAGCGAGAAAGTCTGGAACTGCTAATATCTGATTAACTTGTCCTTTATTCGAGTTATAATGGCATTCCTCAATGGGCCTTCCCAAAAAGCTGATTAACTTTTGGTTGAGCGCAAATGCTGAAAGAGAGTAAACCAGTTTGGTTATTAAGCGTTAAGGATAATCGAGCATGAAAAGCAGTGCGTTGGAAGATGTTGAAACCACAAAGAATTATTGAAAAAGCAGCTTTCAGCTGCTTAGGCAAAAAAGGAATGAGTTTTCCGTGGCTGGTGCAGGAAAGGGATGCGTGGCTCCTAAGGATAAAAAATGAAATTGACGTCTTGTCACAAACCTTTTCAATTTTTTCAGTGCATGTTTCAACATTGCCAGACTTGTTTTTGGTGGCAGCACACGCTTACCCTTTTCGAGCTTAAATTGAGCAGCTAAGTACAGTGGAAACCATAGAAAGATCGTTGTTTTTAAGGAGTAACATAAATCACGGAAAACATGGGCATTGCTGATGTTTAAACTCTGATTCATCATTCAGAAAGAAAGCCTTCAATTACTCTGGCTTGAAAGGGAGGGATAACGATGGTTTAATACGATCTGCCTCCAAGTACTGTTGTGTGAGTTCAAATTCGCCACCTCTCTTTTGCACCCTGGATTTTGATTTTACTGATGGTTTAGGTTGAATGGAAGACATTATAACCCAAAGATTTGGGAAGTTGAGAGACCACATCTGTATACATTTACATTGATTCTGAAATGCATAGTCAAGATATAATGATCGATCACACCCTCAAATGAGCCCATTAGTACATATTAAACGTGCAGACTTCCACAAAAAGGCTAAGCAAATAGAATTAGCAGATGTTAAGTCGCTTGGCCGACAAGCAAAAGAGGGGGCTGGGCACCTGTGCCGCTCTACTCCATCTTGCTTCACATGCTGACCCATTGCTACCTCTTGACTTTGCTTCTTCTTCGAGCCAAAAGCCACCAAACGCTACACTTTTTCAACATTTTAATGGGTAATTCTTTTTCAAGCCTGATTCCTCGCTCTCTTATATGATACTATATGCCACATGATTATTGCTTAACATAGCACATTTGTTTTTGTTAATTAGTTATATGCATTTGTGTTTGCGTCTCTTTATTTAATTTGAAAAATTAATATATTCACATGTGTCTTTATTACATGTATGTGTATATATAGGTTGTTTTCTGCTGAGATTGTTGTTCTTAAAAGCATTCTAATAAGAACAATATTCCTTTTCCTTCTAATAACCAAATATAGTTTTATTCCAGAAGGTCCTCCTCAGCAACAGTAACATGACAAGAAGAGGAGAGCTCTTATTCTGCATCTAGGGAATGTGTAGTTTTCGTAGCAGCTATAAAGAATATTTGTCATAATCCTGTCTTTCTTAAAATAAAAGATTGCTACTTTGCTCGACTCTGCCAACTTTCAAGCAGCTAAATATATGAATACTTGAGGGAGTTATGGAACATAGAAGATGAAGTGCCACATTCAGGCATCCTAAACCATGTGGTAATTGACAAGATTTGAAGATTGTCGGAAAGCAGCTAGCTAGCTTTTTGAGAGTCGCACAGCACAGGCACAACAACAGGCATCCAAGACGGAAATCGATCTGTGATTATGGGTTTTGTTGTGTAAGAAAAGTCATTAACTATTTAACCCACATTTCCCGTTGTTTTGAAAATCTACATCAATTTGTGGTCGTCTTTCAAGTTTGACCAACACTCGACTTGGTAGCAATTAATTGCCTTTTTTAATTACGTTAATGTCTGTGATAGTATTTACTATTTACCAAAGATTTAAACTATAATAACATTTATCGGAATTACTATACTACTTGTTCGAATTTAGACTGAAATTCAAAATATTTTTTCTTGTCATTTGACAAATACTCGCAATACAAACACAAAATTGGATATGCAATTCAAATAGTACAGCAAATAATATTTAATTTAAACTGCAACTTTTCATGTTTAAAAAAAATGAAGTGGATACCTCAGATTTAATAATTAAGTAATTTAATCTTAAAATTAAAATTATGGTTATCCAAGGGAAGACAAAGAAACAACTAGTAGTAGTATTAGTAGTAACTACTTGTGGAAAAAAAGATTGGCCGGGGTGCTATCATCTGCAGTTCTACACATCCCATCCCATCCTATCATAATTATCATTGTTTAGAAGGTTCTACTTCATTATTAATCACAATGGGCAGTGGGGGGCGGGAGAGGAGTTGGACAACCCATTCTTTAGAGTTTAGGAGTCGTGGTCTATGCTTTAATTAATTAATTAATTACCACGCTAGTTAAAACATGGTGAGATAACGGGAAAATGAGGAAAAATGGGAAAACGAGAAGAGTGACTTTCAAGTTTTCACAAGTCAAGTGAGGGCAGCTCGACTCAGTGTTTCCGTCTCCTTCCGGACAATGACACAGATTCCACAAGATAATAGTTTACAAATTTAATCACCTTACTCCCAACCAACGTCAAAATGCCCCTATATATACCTCTCTTGTTCTACTTCTTCTTCTTCTCAATTCCTGGCTCTTTACTTCCTCGGTCTGTTTCTCTCTTTTTATTTTTTTTCCAAACAAAATCCACATATAAAATTATTAACTTCGCTTCATTCTCACTCAATTTCGGTGCGTGTAAAGTATTAGTGTCATTCCCTCCCAAACCCCGGTTCCATACTTAGCAGTGTAGTGTGTCAACTCAAAAATATTGGTAGTCATCAAGCTTAAGTTTTGGAATTGGGATCCATGTTAGGACCCAGCCCAAGAAACTATTTTGTTGCAGCCTCCTCCTTTACCCCATGATAAGCACGCAGTCGGAGTCCCACCACTCGTATGCCGGTATGTTCAAATTCACAGAGCACGTCATCACCTCCATCAAACCTCCTCCACAACCAGCTAGAAATATCCCTCAAAAGGTTCTAAGAATCATCCTCACAGACGCAGATGCCACCGATTCTTCCAGTGACGAAGAACATGATGAGCAACCAACACCAACTAGAAGTCGAATTAGACGCATAAACACGGTAAGGAGAGTGAAAAGGCATGTCAAAGAGATCAACTTTCAACCACTATTCCCATCATCATCAGCCTCTACTACTAAGTTACCAGTCAAGCAACAACCAAGCACAAAAAGAGAAAGACCATCCCCGCAATCTGACGTCACTCGCTGTAAAAAGTTTAGAGGAGTTCGGCAGAGGGTCTGGGGACGCTGGGCAGCAGAGATACGAGACCCCAACCAACGCAAACGGGTGTGGCTTGGCACTTTTGACACCCCTGAGGAAGCTGCCACCGCCTACGACAAAGCTGCCCTCTTGCTCAGGGGTCCAAACGCAGTCACCAACTTCTCTATCCCAGTTTTGGAGGAAAAGGAAGCCCCAGTTGACCAAAGTCAAGGCGACGCCTTTGACTCCTCAACACCCTGCTGTTCTCCCTCTTCTTCCTCGTCTGTTCTGCGCTACGAGGAATGGACGCCGTCTGACGGATTGGGGCACATGGAGGTTGACGTTGGCACTTCTGGTTTCCAGATTGATGTTCCCTCCTACTCTACGGATCTCTTCTTATCGGATGAGTTGTTTGCCCAACAACAGGAAGATGAAATCTCCGACTTTAACGTTGACGATTTCTTGGTCTTGGATTAGCACCATTTTCTTATACTATTAACACTACAACTATCAGTATTTTTATAATTATTAGACGAGGAATATTTTTGGCCCAAAAACAGGGGTAGTATTTTAGTCGTCGTAGTAGTACACTACTATTTTGGTGAGTGGAGAGATTCTTCTTGGGTTTTATTATTATTATTTTTTTTGGGTATGCAGTATGTAGTTGTACTTGCCCGGCGGAGGTGGCAGCTGTTGGTTATGTGGCGGTGATTGGTCCGCCGTTCTGTTGATTATATTTCCTAAACTGTCCCTCCTTATTTTGATAGTCAAACTACGGAGTGTAATACTGTAATTACAGCGAGTTTAGCCCATTTTGTCTCTTGAAATCTTTAACTTGATTTTTCTTTGTGTGTATTTAAATTTTATTAATTTATTATTTAGAAGACGCTTTTTATGTATTAAAAAAAAAAAAAAAGCTTTTTATGTTGTAAGTAATACAGCCGCCAAATTGTTACTATTGCTATATAAAAAAACACCTCGTATTCATCTCATATACCCAAAAAGAAAAATCGCTGCTGTTATACTAAGCCCTTTTGTGCGACAAATGTTAGACACAAGTATCCACGTTCTTGTGCTGCGTTGAAAATTCAGAGACTGATATTTGTCAAGTGGTAAGAGATAATCGGTTTCAGATTTGAGATTTGCTTAGATGTCACGCCACGCGTTGAAAAGCAAAGTAAAAGTTTTAATTATTGTTATTACAAAATCAAAACAAAATTAAGAAAGAAAAAAGAATGATAATGGTCTCAGTGGTTGAATAAATCTTCTTCTGCTGCTGGCAATGGGCTAAATGGCTATAGATTGACAAAGACATCGATGAATACTAACAATAATAAAGTGGAGGCATAGTTGAAAGATTCAAACGTTGGAAATGTGCTCAGAAAAAAAGTAGACGCCGCCCGGCTCCCTCAATGGCTTCAAAAGGCTTGCACTCACCCCACGCCATGAGGCATCGTTGGCTCTTGTCGTCAATTTTGGGCTCCACCCCCGATTTCAGAGATGGGCACGGCTGATTAGATTAGATGCTATATTTCCCAAATCACTCACGCTATCTTTTTAACTACTATGTATCTAACTTTTGTTTTTAGTATCATATGTTAGCTTCAAATTTATTTTTTTACCAATTATTATATATATGCCAATTTATTTTCAAAATAAATAAATAATTACGTGTCAATTTGTTGAAAACTATAATTAACTTTTCTCAAAATTTATCTTACAGTAATAATATTGCAATTGATGATTTTTTATTATCAGAATAATTTCATAATTATTTTTTTAAAAAATTCAAACAAAGTAACACTTTTCCTTTGAAACATTGAGACGGTGCGCCGTCGTTTGATCTTCAATAATAGTTAATAATTAATTAATTATATGTTAATTTCTATTGAGGAACAACCACCAAATTAATTTAAGCATATTCTATTATATATAAAGTTGTTCTCTCCTATGGAATTTTTCTTCCATTAATTTTGATCTGTTACTAATAAAGGAATGGAGCGTCAACCGGATGCAGGACTTAAATTTGAGCTTGCATGAGACTAATTTAAGTGTTGTTCACCTCCATTGCTTCGGGCACAGATCTTTCTCTGATGGAGTAATGATAACGACGCACGTGCTAAGTAGCCTAAGCACGCATCTGCAGAGGGTGGATATTTAGGGGGGTTGGTGGGGGCGGCCCAGGGACCCAATAATAGGGTGTCGAAGCTGGTGGTTCACAAATTTCAAAGGACCCACCGTAATGGATCACGATCACCCGTCTCTGCGTAATAATAGTAATAATTTGATAATGGAATTGGAATTGATAACGGAAAATTGGAAATACACAAGAGGCTGTGCACCGACGGCTGCAGAAAGATTTGAAGTGCTGTTTGCCTGTTACTTTCCACGTAGGAAAACGCGGAGGGAATTGCCTTTCTTTCGCGGTTAAAGAAGTTTGGGATAATGGAAATGGCGTCAAGTTTGACAATTCCTAACAAAATGTTAAGCAATGAGTGGTGGAAACTGAAACTGGATTCCAGTAGCCCCACGGTTGGTCACCAAACTGATACGAAAGTTATAAAAGCCAAAATCTAGCCATCACCACCGCCTCCCACTATCACCCCATTATTAAATCCTCTTCTCCCTGTGAAATGTGATCAATATCGATTCAAGCCCATTTAGATTTAAGTACTTGAAAATGCTGACGCCACACACCATTAATATATATTCATCCAACCATCTGCAAACTGTTAGTTAACTGTGTATACCAATATCTAAATCTGTATAGTTTGGATCCGAAGTGAGCTTAAATATTTGTGTAATTTCTCCAAGAAAATTCCATTGACTTTGGTGATACCCTCTCACCCCAAGCCCAACCACTCTTCATTTGTGAATAAAAAGATAGTGTCAAGCTTGGAGCTAAAAGGAAAGTGACGTTGCAATTTTTCATATTATTAAATGCATGGAGTCTTTGGTCAGACTTTGGTTTGGTCAAGAAAATGCAGCCACCGCATACACCGCAAACCAAAGGCGTAGGATATGAGGCGGAAATCAATCAAATCTACATTGTTTAGTTATCATTCCAAGTTCTAAGGCAATTAAAAATTCCACTTTTTTTTTTTATAGATAATATTATACATAAAATAGTCATCACGTCACATAATATGCAAATTAATTGTGTGGTAGAGACTTAATTTGAGTGATTCCTTCCTCTCGATTTGCTTGCAAAACCCATTCTTACAAGTATGCTATTGCTATTGGTTTTACCATTGCTATAGCTTATACAAGACGGTGCAAGTGATATATGTCTGGTGTTAATGCTATAGGCTATTCAATACCATACGAGTGATGTATGTATGGTCTATTGTGTGGGGTGGGTGCTGCGGGGGCGCCCTTTCCCAATTTAATTAAATTAATACTCCAATTCATCGCAACACCAAAAGTAAAATTTTCTGTTTCAATTAGATCTCTTTTATTTGTTTTTCTTTGGACGACTGAAGTTTGTTTTTTCTATTTTAAAGTTAATAACACTTTACCAAAACTTGCTATAAATTAAGCTGCCGCGAATAGATGTAATAATAAGAGTAAAAAAGTTCTGAAAAGCCCAAAAAAAAATAAAAGAGAAAAGGAAATAAAAAGTTTTAAGTGACATTCACAACAAACCACATATTCAAGATCATATATAACAAGCATCACTACAAGAAATTTTATACTACGTGCTTAACAACAAGAATCCTTTTAGGCATATATATATAATGTGCAATAATGAAGCAGGGAGTGAGGCGAGAACTGTTGCTAATTTTTATCCAAAATGGGGAAACGAAGAGTGATCAGTAGCCTTTAGGGCTAGAGAAGAGAGCCGTACGAGTTACGATTATTAACTTAGAAGTTACTTAAACCAATGGAAGAACGGCGCCGGCCAATCCTTCTTCTCATTAATTTGTCCCTTCGACTTTTCCTAAGTTGACTGTTACGTACCTTGAACTTCTATTATTGGCCTTCCATGATTCAACTACATGTCATAGCCGTAAGAAAAAGCGAACACGATCTATTCTACTTAGCTACTTTTCTGGAATTTTTTATTTTAAAAAAAAAATTTAAGATTTGGTCACATTATTAATAATACCTTCACAATTTATCCAAGAACATTTCATTTTTAATTTTCTATTATGATCTTTAAAATTAGTAAATCATAAAAAATATATATGTAGAGTCCATCACTTAAAATTTTAAAATTTTTATAATTTTTTATGAATTTTAGACACAATTAAAATATAATTGATTAATTATATTATAGTAATTCTAAGTGATAATCTTCCAATTAATCCAGGTGAAAAATCAATGTGATAATTGCTATCGTATCCAGTAAAAATTTCAATCCAGATCTATTACATACTCAGTACTTCACTTACTATCTAGAAACTAACAACGTACAACAACGAAAGCGAACTTTGAATCTAAATTCGACGTTTTGAAGGAATCACGATTGAAAAAAAATGCATTTAAAGCCAGCGAGGCTAGGTTGGTGGATGGAAATGGGTCATGGTGCGTGGTGAAGACTGAAGAGCACATGCAAACAAGTGGGGGGCAGCGTTTTCAGGTTTGATTTCAATCCCCGTCCATTAACCAAGGTTCGTTCATTGAAATAATCACAGCTGAAATTAATTGGAGCCCGATTTGCCAAAACAAATCAGTTGTGCTGTTAAATTTTCATGTCTTAATCGAAACATGGAGTTGGGCTAGCAGGCCGATGTTCATAATCATCAGTTGGGCCAGCCTCGGCAGGCACGCAGAATACATTAACCACCAATAAGCTAAAGATCAAAATACATAAATCGCTTTTTCCGTCCATCTATTTGTTTAGCTGCACTCAAAGTTATCATTTATGCATACGGCTATATATAGCAGGTATGCAGTTTTTATTTTGTTGGAATGTGATCATCTATTACATATATTTTCAATAGAAGTAGGGCGTGGATGCATGCACGAATCACGATCAGAGATTCAGATCATGTGAAAAATCATGGATGCCACCATTGAGAGAAATAAAATCCAGGCGGATGCCAACACCTTTATTGCACCACTAGTGACATTGGCCGTGCTTATAGCTGTCAGCAAATCGTTCCCAAAAATAGATACAATTAGAGCGTATTTAGACTTTAATCGGTGCGTATGCAGCTAAATTAAAAGCGAGGTAAATTTAAGTAATTATCGTTTTTTTTACCTGAAAAGCTTTGGCACCCGTCGATAATGGTTTTACTGACAAATTGAACCTTGGCCTTGTTAGCAAACTGGAAGTCTCGTTTTACTGAATGAATACAGTCGAGCACATTCTTGGTCTGGTCACCGCAGCCGCCTTTCTTACAGTATTCTATTGCTTCGCTTTGGTTAACATTGATTAACCCTGATAGCGTCAGTACCTCACTTCCTTTGCATTCGCTTGTTTTCTGTGCATATCATATATGTTGCATTTAAGTACACTATAAAACAATCCAACTCTCCAAGCATAAAAAATTTCATCGAAACAAAAACATAATCTATAGCATTGTTTTATTTTAATTAATTAAAATACAGTTTTATCCATTGTTTTTAATTCTACCGATGGAAAAAAAAAAAAAACAAAACAAAACAAAAAAAAAAAGATGAAGGGTTAAATTAAATTAAACCTTGTATTTGAGCAAGCATTCGGCGGCACTTATCCAACCCCAAAATGGACTCAAATTCACATGGTGTGGTATGTCTGTCTTGTCTGCAACCAGTACCATGTACACATATTTACATGTATCCATCAGATACAGTACTCGTTTAAATTAGAATTTCTATTATATACATAATTGAAATGATGAGAAATTAAGCTATATTGATTAAATTAACTACACATACATAGACAATACATAATCTGTTATAAATAGTAAGACAACAGAAAAAAATAAGGAGGGAATGCATGAAGAATTAGAGACTTAATTTGAGCAGCAGCATGGTGAAACAGAAGAAGAGGAATCCCCAACATGAATAACCAAACATTAATTCTGAGATTTTCCATCATCATCTCTTTTGTCACAAAAACTACTTTTGTTATTCTTTGGTCGACACCAACTCCCAGTAATGAATATATATAGGAGTCAGTTTCCAATGGAGAACAAACAAAATTAAACATTGTAGTTTTAAAGAATATAACTTTATTATGTAATTAGTATATGCTGAGGTATATTATGATCAATAATCTAGTGATGAACAAAGTTGTACCTCTGAATTCTCGACAAATTATTTAATATTTCAGAGCTGCAAACAACTTTGTTTTGTTGTGTTTTTGTTGTTTTCATTTCGATCAGTGGTCAATTTGATGCAACTTTTACTATTTTTCTAAATGCATGTTCATTGTTTTAGTTATGTTCAATTTAATTTAATTGACATTAATATTTTACTAATAAATATTAAATATTATTTGAATATGTTAAACTTCGATTTACTACAACAAACTTTCGATCTCCCCCTATTTTCCTTAGAGCTTGGCCTTTATGTAAAAAAAAAAAAAAAACAAACTTTCTACCTCTTGTTTAATTGGGTAAATTACAAGATTTTTATTTTTATTTTA